AATTTGAAACGACATCTAATATAGGGGCATCTTAATGACAAAACTCAATACCGTAGAGAGACCCCCCAGTGGTGGTGGCGGTGGTGTGTTCTAAATTTTATGACCCAATACTAATTGTAGACAACGAAAAAGTGAAGGCCCAAAAAATAACCTGCCGTGTAAAAAATAATTTCCTGTGGTATGTTTTTGGGCCCTAGACTTCAAAAAATGGAAATATAAAAACGAAAAACAATTAAAAGAAATGTCATCAATCATTTTTTATTGTTTCTGAGTTTTTTCCCCTTCGAGAGCTGCCAGACCTTATGTCTAAAATCACGTTCCAAATATCTAAATTGTATTCCATTTTTTTAAGAAAATATATTTTTTATCTTTATTACTTTTGTAATGTTTTCTGAAAACAAATTTTCTCCCCCTCAGGTCGGTCGTGTAGGTGACCGTTAGCCCATAACCAATAAATCATTGTGGCACACTTTTAGGTTCAAATTGCGGTTGTCTGGTGTCTCAAATTAAGTTGTATATCATTTTGACCTGGCTAGCCATGATCTGTTTGCCAAAATGCCATTTTGTTAATTGTTCAGATAACAAATTGTAATCATGTTTTATATGAGTTCACAATATAACCTCAAATAAATTAAAAGGGAAATGGGAACCACAAAGCATACTTTTGGGGGCAAAGGTGGATGATCAAAAATTTTTCATTTTTTTATAAACAAAAAAAATGTTTATGAATTTATAATAAAAACAATGTTTATTAAAATTCACGATATATATGTTCTAAAAATATTCACTAAAAATTCATTACTAAATATGGGCCTTAAATATATCTTTTAAGAATTTAACGCCTAAATATAGGCCTCAAAAACATTTCCTATATATCTATGCCTTAATATGGGCCTAAAAATTTTTTTTACATATCTATGTCTAAATATAGGCATTAGAAATTTATTTAATAAATTTATGCCCTAAAATAGGCCTCAAAGGTACTTTTATATAAATCGAGGCATAGATACAGACCTTACAAATATTATTTTATAAATTTATGCCTGAAAATAGGTCTAAAATATTTTTTATAAGTCTATGCCTAAATACAGGCCTTACAAATATTTTTTATAAATCTATGCCTAAATATAGGTTTCAAAAATATTTTTATGTAATAAATCTACATTCAGAAATATATATTTCTATAAAATATAAATCTACGCCTTCTTTTAAATATAGGCATCACAAATATTCTTCTAGAAATCTACACCTAAATGTAGACTTCAAAAATATTCTTTTATAAATCTACGCCTAAATATAGACCTCAAAAATATTCTTTTATAAATCTACGCCTAAATATAGACCTCAAAAATATTCTTTTATAAATCTACGCCTAAATGTAGACCTCAAAAATATTTTTTATAAATCTACGCCTAAATATAGACCTTCAAAAATATTCTTTTATAAATCCACGCCTAAATTAAAAATATTCTTCTTTATTCTACGCCTAAATATAGACCTCAAAATATTCTTTTATAAATCTACGCCTAAATATAGACCCCAAAAATATTCTTTTATAAATCTACGCCTAAATATAGACCCCAAAAATATTCTTTTATAAATCTACGCCTAAATATAGACCTCAAAAATATTCTTTTATAAATCTACGCCTAAATATAGACCTCAAAAATATTCTTTTATAAATCTACGCCTAAATATAGACCTCAAAAATATTCTTTTATAAATCTACGCCTAAATATAGACCTGAATAATATTCTTTTTATAAATCCACGCCTAAATATAGACCCCAAAAATATTATTTTATAAATCTGCGCCTAAATATACCTCCTTAAAAATATTCTTTTATAAATCTACGCCTAAATGTAGACCCCAAAAATATTCTTTTACAAATCCACGCCTAAATTAAAAATATTCTTCTTTATTCTACGCCTAAATATAGACCTCAAAAATATTCTTTTATAAATCTGCGCCTAAATATAGACCTCAAAAATATTATTTTATAAATCTACGCCTAAATATAGGCATCAAAAATATTCTTTCTGTAAATGTACTACAAAAATGTAGTCTACGTAGGCCTCAAAAATATTTTTTTTTAAATCTAAGCCTAAATATAGACCTATTTATTAAATATCCTCGTCTGTTACAATATTTATAGAAAACAACGCCTTTAAGTAGACACTAAATATTGTGAATTTAAAAAATATGCTTTATAAGAAAATATTTTTTCCTTTTTTCGAGTGCTCAAATTTCAATTTTCTCCCTCCAAATTCAATTCTACATACATATGAACACATATTTGATAACACAATATTATGACAAGAAATGTGTGTAATAACTCTTTAACAATTTCACTTTATGTTCCTTCATTTTCTTTTCCATCACAAAAGAAAAATTCAATAACAAAGTGGAACCTATTATGTCAAACAAATAAGACAAATTTGACAGCCAAAATAAAAAAAAAATGAAATAAACTGAATTCTTATTAAGGAAACATATTGTGCTGTCAAGGTTACGTACATACATCCATACATACAAATATATTTTTTTGACAATTTCATTTCATGCGTTTTTGTCCTTATTGTTGTTACCTTCGTTTATTTTTCTTATTTGTATTTCATAAATTTCGTCAATGACAAAATAAATTCGATTCAATAACAATGAAATACAAAAAATGAAGTAAAAAGAATACATACGCCTTAAAATAGGTACAGAAAAAATATTTAAAATAAATCTACGTCTTAAATTAGGCCTCATGAAATACTTTATGATATAACCATGCCTTAAAATAGGCCTCAAAAATATTTTTTTAAAAATATTTAGGTCTAAAATAATTTTTTTTTTTTCCAAACCTTAAACTAAAAGTCTCAAAATATATATATTTAAATTATTTTTTAATTTTTTTTTTTAGTATATCAACCCCTTAAAATATGCCACAGAAATATTTATTATTATTTTCACGACTTAAAATAGGCCTCAAAGGGTATTTATATACCCTTCACCACACTACAAATAGGGTATCAATGTCTTTGTGCATATATTTGTAACATGCCTTAAATTTTTGGCCCGATTAAAGGTATTTTTTGTCACATTTTACGACCAAATTGGCTGTAATTTGGCACAGAGAGTTCTCTTTGGTTACCAAATATCCATGCACTAATTCATGTATGTAGATCCACGTTTACTGGTAGCCGATTTTCGTCCGATTTTCAGTAAATGCTCAAAAATATGGCCGATTGGCACAACATTTTGCAGAACGTTCTGAAGTTATTGTAACATAACTTGTGTCATGTTTTATTGCAATCGGTTCAGATTTTGATATAGCTCCCATATATAGTTTTGTCCGATTTTCAGTTGATGATGAAATTTTGCAAAACGCTCTGAAGTTAGTATAACCTACGGTGTGGAAAGTTTCGCTGAAATCATTTCAAATTTGGAAATAGGTCCCATATATAGTATCTTCCGCTTTTCAGTATAACCTAACGTGGGGAAAGTTTCTTTGAAATCTGATATAAGTCCATATATATATATATATATATATATATTATGTCAATAATAAACCAAAGACCCACAATATGGCCTTTAGGCAACGTCCTGAAGTTAGTTAAGCTCCCATATTTATTTTTGTCCGATTTGGCGTAAATAATGCACCAAGGACCCAAAATATGGCCGATATGCTCAAAACGTACTGTAACCTTGAAGGATGAAATCCGTTCGAATTTGGATATAGCTTTCATATGTATTTTTACCCGATTTAAAGCAAATGGTGCACCTAACTCCTCATTTTTGTTCATTTTAGCTCATCCAATTTCATGTTAATGGTCCTGTTGAATACACCCAAAGCGGTTTTAAAAATATCATAAAAACGGCTAAAATAGGCTTCTAAAAATATTTTATAAAATACTTTAGGCTTTTAAAAACTGGTTTAATACATTGACGCCTAAAAAATGCCTAAGAAATAATTTCTATTATATCCACACCTTAAAACTGGCCTCAAATAATATTTTTTAATGTATCGAAGTCAAAAAATAGGTCTAAATAAATATTTTTAATACATCTATGTATTAAATTAGGCCTCAAAAGATATTTTTAATGCATCGAAGCCTAAATACTTGGTCTCAAAAATTATTTTAAATATATACATGCCTCAAATATGCCTCAAAAATAATAATAAATCGACGCTTTAAGATAGGCTTATACTTATTTCGGGTTTTTTTCTTCCCTTTCCACTGTGCCTCTTTTTTCCTGTCAATTGATTGAATTTAGTCATCTTAACATCAGCCATGAGAAAACATTCAGTCAGCCAGCCTTTTCAAAAAATCCAGCATCTCAAATAGAAGCTGTCTGTTACAACAACCAAGAAAATGACACGCGCTTCTAAATAAAAAACTCGATTAAAAATTCTATTGTTGTCACATGTTGTTGTTTATGTTAAATAAACAATGTTACAACAACATCAAAAACTACAACAACAACAAAAACATCAATAATGAACAACTGTATTCGATTTTTTTCTCATACCTTGGGATTACCTATAACACAAAAGCAAATACTCCAGCTAGGGGAGGGGACAACACAGACACGGGCAAACAAACATTCCAGTCCCCTTCCTACACGCTTACAAGGAAGATTAAAAAAAATACTTTACATTTTCCAACAGAGGTGGTGAAATGTAATGAGAACTATAACAAATGCTAAACAGTCTGTTTTCTTCGGTTTGGGTGTCTTAGAGGCAAGCAGACAGTTAGTCAGCCAGCCAGACTCTGTATTACAAATACATCATGACCTAAACGGTAGGGCTACAACTTCGTCAGATTGTTGTTGACCATTTGAAAACGAAAATTTGTTTAAAATCTATCTAAGTTGAGGCTATGATATCTCCTGGGTATCGTTATGGTTATATATCTTTCCCTGGTTAGTTGAGAGATACAGAAAATCTGCTCAAGAGGTGGGGCTGTTTTACCTTAGACTAAATTTTGTCCTGTCTTATCAAACATGCTGCTATGACATGGCAACATCATGCTGATGATGTCGCCCAGTATTATGAGGTGACAAAGTTCAATAGAAAATGTGTTAAAATTTTGGCTAGCCCACCCAAGCTCCTGCCCACCCCCGACATCCTTCATTGCCGGTAAATAAAAACCTGTGAACAAAAGAAAATTTTTATTATTTTCACAGGTGTGGATGGGTGGTTCGGGCTGGCTGCATAAAAATGCTGACTCAAAATGCAAATAATTGTAAAGAATTTTTATTGTAGCTCTTTTCTCTCCACCTCCTCCTCCCTACCTGCTCTCTTTCCCACAACTATGCAAAGTGTTTGCCATGAATAAAACTTCCCCATTGTTAGTATTTTCCGAAAATAACATTTCAAGCCAGAAGCTTAACAATTGAAAAGAAAATACATTGAATTCCATGGACCATGCTCAATAGTGTTATGCAAATCGGATAATTAGTTTTTCGTTTAAGGAATTTTTGATCATTTCGTTTTTTATTATTTGCTACGAAAGCCTTTTTAAGAATTCCAAAAGAGATTTTTCGTCTTCATCTGCTTTTGTGAAAACATAGTAACAATGAGGTGTTTTGTTATTTATTTCGATTTTTTTTCTGAGTAAAATGAAAATTCAATTGAAATTTGGTTAATTGGCGTTTTCAACAAAGGAGGCAGGACATGCTGCAGTACTATTTGTTAGGAGACAATGGGTACGACCATGGAGAGAAAGGGAGAGTAAGTAAATTTGTTAGCTGGCCAAGGTAAACATCAAAGGAATTACTTAATATTCTCGGCAGGTTTATTTAACTACATTTTGTTAGTCCATTGCAAAGGATACAAAAGGACAATAGGGATTTTTGTTACACTACAGGAATTAGAAGTAAGGGGAAGCTAAAGAAAAATTATTTTAAAAATCTACGCCTTATGGGAAGCTAAAGAAAAATTATTTTAAAAATCTACGCCTTATGGGAAGCTAAAGAAAAATTATTTTAAAAATCTACGCCTTATGGGAAGCTGTATTATTTTAAAAATTATTTGAAAAATCTACGCCTTATGGGAAGCTGTAGAAAAATTATTTGAAAAATCTACGCCTTATGGGAAGCTGTAGAAAAATTATTTGAAAAATCTACGCCTTATGGGAAGCTGTAGAAAAATTATTTGAAAAATCTACGCCTTATGGGAAGCTGTAGAAAAATTATTTGAAAAATCTACGCCTTAAAAATATTGCTTTATAAATCTACGCCTTGATATAGGCTTCAAAAAATATTGCTTTATAAATCTACGCCTTGATATAGGCTTCTAAAAATATTGCTTTATAAATCCACGGCTATTTGCAGGCTTCTAAAAATATTTTTAATAAATCCACGCCTATTTGTAGGCTTCTAAAAATATTTGTAATAAATCCACGCCTATTTGTAGGCTTCTAAAAATATTTTTAATAAATCCACGCCTATTTGTAGGCTTCTAAAAATATTTTTAATAAATCCACGCCTATTTGTAGGCTTCTAAAAATATTTTTAATAAATCCACGCCTATTTGTAGGCTTCTAAAAATATTTTTAATAAATCCACGCCTATTTGTAGGCTTCTAAAAATATTTTTAATAAATCCACGCCTATTTGTAGGCTTCTAAAAATATTTTTAATAAATCCACGCCTATTTGTAGGCTTCTAAAAATATTTTTAATAAATCCACGCCTATTTGTAGGCTTCTAAAAATATTTTTAATAAATCCACGCCTATTTGTAGGCTTCTAAAAATATTTTTAATATATCCACGCCTATTTGTAGGCTTCTAAAAATATTTTTAATAAATCCACGCCTATTTGTAGTCTTCTAAAAAAATATTTTTAATAAATCCACGCCTATTTGTAGGCTTCTAAAAATATTTTTAATAAATCCACGCCTATTTGTAGGCTTCTAAAAATATTTTTAATATATCCACGCCTATTTGTAGGCTTCTAAAAATATTTTTAAAAAATCCAAGCCTATTTGTAGGCTTCTAAAAATATTTTTAATAAATCCACGCCTAATTGTAGGCTTCTAAAATATTTTTAATAAATCCACGCCTATTTGTAGGCTTCTAAAAATATTTTTAATAAATCCACGCCTATTTGTAGGCTTCTAAAAATATTTTTAATAAATCCACGCCTATTTGTAGGCTTCTAAAAATATTTTTAATAAATCCACGCCTATTTGTAGGCTTCTAAAAATATTTTTAATAAATCCACGCCTATTTGTAGGCTTCTAAAAATATTTTTAACAAATCCAAGTCTATTTGTAGGCAACAAAAAATTTAAAAATCCACGCCTATTTGTAGGCTTCTAAAAATATTTTTAATAAATCCACGCCTATTTGTAGGCTTCTAAAAATATTTTTAATAAATCCACGCCTATTTGTAGGCTTCTAAAAATATTTTTAATAAATCCACGCCTATTTGTAGGCTTCTAAAAATATTTTTAATAAATCCACGCCTATTTGTAGGCTTCTAAAAATATTTTTAATAAATCCACGCCTATTTGTAGGCTTCTAAAAATATTTTAATAAATCTACGTCTTTTGTTAGGCTTCTAAAAATATTTTTAATAAATCCACGCCTATTTGTAGGCTTCTAAAAATATTTTTAATAAATCCACGCCTATTTGTAGGCTTCTAAAAATATTTTTAATAAATCCACGCCTATTTGTAGGCTTCTAAAAATATTTTTAATAAATCCACGCCTATTTGTAGGCTTCTAAAAATATTTTTAATAAATCCACGCCTATTTGTAGGCTTCTAAAAATATTTTTAATAAATCCACGCCTATTTGTAGGCTTCTAAAAATATTTTTAATAAATCCACGCCTATTTGTAGGCTTCTAAAAATATTTTTAATAAATCCACGCCTATTTGTAGGCTTCTAAAAATATTTTTAATAAATCCACGCCTATTTGTAGGCTTCTAAAAATATTTTTAATAAATCCACGCCTATTTGTAGGCTTCTAAAAATATTTGTAATAAATCCACGCCTATTTGTAGGCTTCTAAAAATATTTTTAGGCTTCTATAAAATCCACGCCTATTTGTAGGCTTCTAAAAATATTTTTAATTCCACGCCTATTTGTAGGCAAATAAATTGATTTTTTTATGACATAACTGTTATGGCATTATGTATAACATAATCAAAATCTGTAATCTTCACTCTCTGGCAAGAATATTTTGTGATACCATAAATTAGGTTCGGTTTTTTTATTGGAAATATTTTTTTTCTTTATTTGTTTTAAGAAGCCTTCTTTTCTTTCAAATTTTCAACATTTCTTTCGAACATTTCCTCACGTCCAGAAAATCTCAGTTGAAAATTGCTTAATTTTTCCATGAACTCTGTTCCCAACAAATTCACACGTTCCATTTGGTTTCAGAACTTTTTTCTTCTTTGTCCTGTCCCTTATCATAAAAAACCAGACAACCGTTTTTTTTGTGACCTTACCCCTTGCCTGCCTTTATGCCCGCTAATTTGTTTAGACATTTTTCAGTAAATTTATTCCTTTTTGTCAAAGAACAAAAGAAAAAATGGTAGAATACCCTTCTAGGGGCTCTATATGAATCATGTTTTATAATGCCAGAGAAAGAACGGAAATTTCTTACACGCTTTTCTTCGTAGCCTTTTGTTTTACGGCCTTTGAATCCCACCAGCCAAAAAAAACGAAATAACGAAAGGAATGAAAGGTATGGTATGGCATGAATGTTAATAAAGAAATGTCGTTGTACGAAATGTTTTCTGCGGCCATAGAACTTGTAAATTATATACCGAATTCTTGTCTTAGATATGCCAACAATTTTTCCAAAAAAATTTAAAGGGTAAAAGGGTGCAACATTTTTCTATGGCTTGCCAATTTGCAAGGACTGGGAGGGGGACATTCTTGATTTTACTGAATTTTTCATTAACCATTGCCTCCTGGCTGTTTTTATTGAGCCTTGTCAACTTTTTGTAATTGTACACCAGCGGAATTGTTAAAAGCCTTTTATATTTTCCTGACAACGCGTAGAAGTCATGAATTAAATTTATGGTGGCAACTGGTGTGGTACAGGGAAAGGGGAAAAGGGATACCAATGAATAGGATATTAATTATTTATTGGGCATTTGAACATCAGCAAATGCGTGTAAAAATATTTCTAAAAATCCAACTTGTAAATGTAGACATAAAAATTGTTGTTAAAAATTCTTTCCAAAATTTATGGGAAGATATAGAAGAATTATTTAAAAAATCTACACCTTATGGGAAGTTATAGAAAAATTATTTAAAACTCTATACCTGATGGGAAGCTTTAGATAAATTATTTAAAAAATCTACATCTTATGGGAAGCTATTTAAAAAATCTGCGTTTAATGGAAAGCTATATTAACATATTTAAAAAATTGTTTCCCTCAAAATATTTCTTACAAATCTAAGCCTTAATATAGGCCTCCAAAAATATTTCTTAAAAATCTACGCCTTAATATAGGCCTCAAAAAAATATTTCATAAAAATCCACTCTTTAATATAGGCTTCATAAAATATTTTTTATAAGTCCACGCTATAATCTGTCTTAATATATACTTCAAAATATTTATACCCTTCACAACACTGTGGTACAGGCTATAATGTCTTTGTTCATATTTTTGTAACAGGCAAAAGGAAACGAGATAGACGCATTGTTCCTTTTGAGAATATGCATAGAATCACATTCTGAATCGATTTATGCATGTCCGTCCGTCTGCCTGTCTGCATAGATCGCATTTATGATCCGAATTGGATGAAATTTGGCATAAGTCACTTATATCGTCCAATGACAAACCCTATTGAAATTGGGAAAAATCGGTTTAGATTTCGATATAGCTCCCATATATATTTTCGTCCGATTTAAGGTAAATGGTGTACCAAAGTACCTATATATCTTTCGATATGCACGAAATTTGGCATAGCGTAATGAATTAGATGTAGAATGATGTGTGTTCGTCCGATTTAAGGTATATGTTGTACCAGAGCCCCTATATATCATTCGATTTGCACGAAATTTGGATTAGCGTTCTGTATTAAATGCAGAATGATGTGTGCTGAGATTGGTAAAAATCTGTTCAGATTTAAATATAGCTCCCATATATATTTTCGACCGATTTAATGTAAATG